TTTTTTTTTTTTTTTTGGTTATTGTCTCGAAAGATAATGCATACTTACCCATTCATCTATAACGAGACCTTCACCGAGCCCAACCACACGCGGGCCTGTATCAGTTTGTGGAGGCTTCTTTCGAGCTTCGAGTGCAGTATCTGCTTCGGCCAGCTGGCGCTTCAGTTTATCGAGCGCCTTAACAAAGAAAGAAGAATTTACATGAGAAGAGAACTCGGGCCACTAATAGTAACATTAAAGACGTGGTTTTTGCATAAATAATTTTTTCGAGTCTTACAGGATTAGCACGCTCGGGATCCAAGAATACAACCCGCAATATACGTTCAACGGTCACTTGATCCCTTTGCTCGTCAAACTGCAAAAGAAATCAAATTACAAGATGATGATAAATTGCTTAATAAGGGATTTTTTTGTAAAAAGACGAATATCAAGTCATGTGCTGGTGAATTATTATGGCTTGTCGATTATGAAAGTTAGAAATGTTAGAAAGTAATATGTGATTCTTCTTCCAGCTAATACCAACTAATATGGTGTATTTGGCTGCATAATAATACTAAGGTTTGGTTAAAGTTGTTAACTTTCATGAACCGAATGTCAACAATTAACGCTAAAGACCAAGTAACACACTCAGAACATTCAAGGATTGTAACAATATATCGTCGAGTAATATTGATTTGAATGAACAAATAAGCACTATAAAATTAACTTGCAGCATAAAAATGTTTCATAATCTCATTATCATTATAGAAACTATCGTCAAACCAAAAATGCACGTCTAGCGTCAAATAGACCATATTAGCATTGAAGTTGGTAAAAGGCTTCAAACTCATAACAAACGAACCAAATGAGAGCATGGAAAACAAAAATAAAGCTACTAAATTACCAATGGCTTCATTAAGTAATGTTTATTTGTTATAAACTCATGTTATAATTAATAACATGCACAGATTAGAGCAGTGAACTTCAAAATAGGTTTCTAGTTTTCAAACAAGCACATCTTGTTTTAAAAAAATCTCTAAAGAAAAGTTCGTCCCACGAGATCCCTTCTTAAATGAGCTTAAGTTATCACAAATTTTCAACATACTCCATGAATAAATAACACACATCATGCATTCAACAATTCTAGTAAGTTATAACATTTTTAAGGAAGGTAAATTACTCACCAACTCAGGGACGTAATCTGTTCCTTCTTTCACTTTAAGGCTCATGATTTTGAACTTAGCCTTGCTCTTTTGATTTACGGGTTTCTCGTTGTTCTCCGGATTCTCCACGAATTTGAACACTGGAAGACGGAACACGCGATAAAATATTATCCGATGGACAACATTTATACACTAGAAAATCGCTTGTGCAAGATTTTTATTGTTTGGGACTTTTCCTTTAGATTGAGATTAAATAAACATAAGCAAGAAAAACGTGAAATGTTCTTTACCGGAGGCTATGAGGCCTTCTCCAGGAGCAAGAATACCGCCAGGCGGTCGCATGTAACAACTCTTGGGTTCAGTTGTTTGAAACTAAATACAGAAAACAAAAGCCATCTAAGATAGGTCACCTTCAGGGATATTATCTTTATCATTCAGATTCAAAGGCCAACAGATTCTTTTATTCAACAAGGTTAGACTTGTTATATCAAACATGGACATCAATCTATAAAAAAAATGCGCGATTTTCGTGCCATGGAACTAATTTTCAGCAAAAATCAGCTTCAGAACTAAAAGGGATATTACTCAAAAGTAAAATCTCAATGTTCAAAATCAAAGAAACTACCAAAACAAGAAAGTGGGCATATCAAACAGACATCAACATATACAGAACATTAAATTAAAAAATAGAATCTTGCGCGATTTTTGGCATAAAATTATTTTTTTCAGCAAAATTAAGTTTCAGAACTAAAAGGGATAATACATAAAAACCCACTGTTCGAATCAAACAAACCCAATAATAACAAGAAAGTGAGTACCTTGAAAGCCACATATGACTTGCTGGAGTTCTTAATCCTAACAGCACTCCTAGCCTGCTTTCCTGGTTCATCTTCAATATCACAAACACAAAACAGAGAAAAAAAAAAGCCCAATCAGCTTAAATTCGAAATTTGTTCATTAGAAAACCCAATTCGACCTCGGAATCCCCAAAACAAAGGCGACACCTTTACAAGAACAAAACTTGAAGAAAACAATTAATTAAACCACGCACAAGGGAAGTAGAGGTTGCTGGAAGGGTCGAGGCGGAGTCTCCGACGGGCGGGGAGTATCGATCTGGCGACGGACGATACGGCGGACGAGCGCGTGTTGGGAGCAGCGCCGCCGTACTGGTGGCCGTGGTTCTGGGGTGGTTGGTCGTACAGATTCTGGGTGGAAGAGGAAGAAGACGACGGAGCTGCGGACTGCCAGAAGGGGCATATCCCCCACTTGGGGTGGTGGTGGCTGTCGGCGATCGCCATGTTTGCCGGAATCTAGGTGGCTCAAGGTTTTTCCTTTACAAATCTGTGTAATGCGACTTTTCAGGTCGCCAAAATGTAAGTTGACTAAAGTCGTAATGTGAAAAGTCGGAAGACACCTGTTTGGCTATTTATATAGTTTGCGAATTTCAATTGGGTTACTTAATTATTATTATTATTATTATTATTATTATTATTATTATTATTATTATTATTATTATTATTATTATTATTATTATTAACTATAACTATTGTAATAAAAAATAACTAGTACAACACCTGTTTATTACACGGGTGCTTGTTAAAAAATTATTCTTAAATTTTAAAATTAATGAGAAAATTATATTAAATTTAGTTACTTTTTTTACAAAAAAATATATTACTCTATATTTTAGAATAATATGTGTTACTTATGACTTACATGTGTTATATTATATTAGTTTTTATAACTTATATCATATAACTACTTGAAATATAAATATATTAGTTGATAAATAATTTTATTTTTCTAATTAAAAATATTAAAAATAATTTTATTATTGTTATAAAGATAAATATAAATTATTATTTTTATACATACAATATGGATGTTAAATCGAAACTCATCAAAAGAAGATTAATTTGATATATTACATATGTAAAACTGATAAAAAATACAAAAGTTATTAATTTTTAAATATATATATAATTCAATAGTTATAATAAGGAATGATATTAAAATGCAATTAATACATGTAACATGACCATAAATAATCAACATATTTATGGTAATCCGAATCTAATTATTTTTTGTTTGGAATTAAATTAAAATTTACCCAAGCCTAATAACGAAGCATGTAATTTTGCCACATAAGATTTTGAAGCACCAGAAACAGCCACGTAGGCTCAGCGCGTTCTGGATTAATATATAGGGAAGGAGATGTGTGTTCACGTAGCATTCGTGCACATATTAATCAAATGGTAAATTTATTGACTGATTAAAAGTTAAGGACTTATATACACATACATAGTTGAATAAGATTAGTCAAACTTTTTTTTTTTTTTTCAAGATTTTCAACATATAATTGCTTGTTTATGTTTGATACGAAAAATTCAACTCAACCTTCATTATCAGATTTTATCGTTATAGATCAACATATTGGTAGAGTCAAATTTGCCATTTGATTCACACTATTTCATTAAATCAATATATATGAGAAATGCTACAGTCCCCCGTTACGGAACCATTTCGTCGGGATTTGTAACTGTTAGATTATCATATAATCGTCATGGATAGTTGATCTAACGGTTACAAACTCCGACGAAATAGTTCGTAAATGGACAGTATAATCTCCCTATATATATAAGAAAAAATAAGATGGAAAAACCCGAATGATCCGTACACACATGCAAATGTATATTGTATTTACATACATTGTATATTATTATAATTTGTATATTAATTTGTTGAAGTATCTTATAATTTAATAACAATTGTATGATTACAAAAATTAATAAGTAGTATAAGAGAATATGTGAGTTGGAAAAGGAGAAACAACACTAATAATTGCGAGTACCGACCCTATTATATGTAGCTAAGGTTTGTTGGTAAAAGGCTAGTTGGGAGTTAAGAATTTAATTGAGTAATTTAATGACATTTGCCAGCCCTAGGTGACATTTTTCTGCTTATATTTTGTTCAACTATAGTCAAAATAATCATAAAATTTATCAATAGTTCATTCAGGTGAAATTTGATTTTATCTTACTTATTTGATTTTTTTTTTTTTTTTTTTTTT